AGGAGTTTGAGGTTACAATGAGCTATGATCACATCATAGCACTTCACTCCAGCCTTGGCAACAGAACAAAACCATGTCTCGAAAAAAAAAAAAAAAAAAAGAGGCGTATGAAGCTCTTTACTCCCCTTGGTGGGCTCTGGACACACAGAAGTGAACCCAGAAGTGATTTTAGGATGAAGAGTTTGAGAGAGTTAAATTGCTTGCAAAATAGAATGAGAGAAGTATTTGGAGTTCTAGTGGTAATATGCTAAGGAGAGTTTGCAGAGGAGAGAAAGATTAGATTATAAAAGACCAAGGCTGGCAGGGCGAGGTGGCTCACACCTGTAATCCCAGCACTTTGGGAAGCCGAGGTGGGCAGATCACCCAAGGCTGGGAGTTCGAGACAAGCCTGACCAACAGGGAGAAACCCTGTCTCAATCAAAAATACAAAAATTAGCCAGGCATGATAGTGCATGTCTGTAATCCCAGCTACTTGGGAGGCTGAGGTAGGAGAATCACTTGAACCTGGGAGGCAAAAGTTGCGGTGAGCCGAGATCGTGCCATTGCACTCCAGCCCAGGCAACAAGAGCAAAACTCCGTCTCAGAAAAAAAAAACCAAAAAAACAAAAAACACAAGGCCAACATATGTGGGTGATATGAGTAATGACAAATCCCTACTGGAGGGGTGGGCAAGAGTACTCTGAGGAACAGGAATAACCAGTATTAGAATTCAAGTTGCTTACTTTGTTGCTGTGTTCAATGTTCAATTCTCTCCATTATCCCAAACCTTTGATAAAAGTCTGCAACACATATAAAGGCTTTAGCTGTGAGTTCTACATCTGTATCAATGTGGATGGAAACAAGGACAGTGTACTTGATCTAGTAAACCATCCATAATCTGAATAAATTCAGTGGAAGCAAGAGCTCAAAATCAGAGCACCTGGGAATTTGAAGAAATCTGAAGAAGGAATCAGGACAATTCCTGCTGTAAGTTGAAGAATGACATTTTAAGCCAAAACTTTAAGGAAAAGGATGACTCCAGCTAGCTGATGGGTTACACTAGGATGCTGAATCCTTAGACTCTTAAACCAAATTACATGAGGTTCCACAGTGATTTACAGAAACAGCCAGCAGGGGAGGTGCCAATTACTTTGCTTGCACAAGAAACAAACTGAGGATCATACGCCCCACCTCTTCTCCATTCTGCATGCTCCTAAAGAGGTCTTCTGGCCCCTACTGCACCTAAGGGTGGCCTTAGTCAACTCTCAAGTTTTCTCTCAAGGTTCTAGCCCTCAGATGCTTCCTCTCCAGGACTTCCATTTTACTTAAGAGTCTGAATCTCAGCTTAACCTTTAATTGTTCTTGAATAAGAAAAGAAAGAACCACATCCTAGACATCTTACAACCGGAGCCTATTAAATTCCCAGGGGGGGAATAGAAGACAGTGATGCTAAAGCATGTTAATAAATGACCCTAGTTGGTGATGCTTCTAAATCAAGGAAAGGAGGAGGAGGAGGAGGAGGAGGTTTGGAATGGGGAAAAAGAATGGTTTGATGAAGAATATAATTTGGCTTGAGACATGCTGAGTTTAAGATGCTTAAGAGCTATCCAGGTTACAATGCCAATAGTGTTTGGCTATTATGAGTAAGAAACTCAGGAGAGAGAGAAATCTAGGTGGGGGATGATAGTATTAAAGTACTTGATGTATTAGTGGTAGCTGAACCAATAAATATAGATGGCATCATCTAGAGACAGTACATAGAGGGAGTAGAGACAGCTGGGCATAGTGGCACCCACCTATGTAATCTCAGCTACTCAGGGAGGCTGAGACAGGAGGATTGCTTGAGCACAGGAGTTTGAGGCTGCAGTGAACTGTGATCACACCACCGCATTCTAGCCTGGGTGACAGAGCAAGACTTTGTCTCTTTATTCATTTTTAAAATTTTTATTTATTTTGAGATGGAGTCTTGCTCTGTTGCCCAGGCCGGAGTGCAGTGGCATGATCTCAGCTCACTGCAACCTAAGACCTTCCCTAACAGCCTTCCTAAAGCTGCTAACAAGTTTTCCAGTTATAGGCCAATAAATACTTAGCAAATGCCAGCTGGGCACGGTGGCTCACGCCCATAATCCCAGGACTTTGGGAGGCCGAGGTGGGTGGATCATGAGGTCAAAAGTTCAAGACCAGCCTGGCCAAGATGGTGAAACCTCGTCTCTACTAAAAGTACAAAAATTAGCAGGGCACATTGGCAGGCACCTGTAATCCCAGCTACTTGGGAGGCTGAAGCAGAAGAATCACTTGAACCCGGGAGGTGGAGGTTTCAGTGAGCCGAGATTGCGCCACTGCATTCCAGCCTGAGTGACAGAGACTCCGACTCAAAAACAAAATAAAATAACGTGGCAAATACCTATAGACCAAAGAAACTACAAGCTCTATTTAAGATCTTTGAATGCCCATTTCAAGCCCTCTTCCCACTTTCCAATAAGCAAGTTGACTCCCTGGTCTTCAATTAAAACCATGGTCTTTCAGAAGAAGTGGCAAAAATGGACAAATACCACAGGCTAACGCCCTAAGGGTGGGGCTTGTATATGCAGAATACTGCTTACTGGATGTTCAAAGAACATACCAAGGACATGGTCCATCTGTATCTAATGTCACGGTCAAAGCTGAGCCTTTCCATCTAGTTTGTCTTATGATTAGCTAAGCCAACTATCTGAGTTGAGATCAGCCAACTAATAGATCTCACTCACGACAATAAAGACACATATATGAGGGTGTCAAGAGGACCCAGTAATTTCTTCATCAGAAGTCTTAGAGATTTCTTTCAGGTGATCTTTCCCTAGCTGTGTTGGTTGGGAATGGCATGCAGGGGAAGTAACTGGCTTGCTCTTTGGTTACTAGCTATGTCAGCTTCAATTCCTGGTACTTGGTCACCCACCCAGTCAGATTTAAATGGCAACCCACCTGTACCACCACCCTGCCCACAGAGCATGAGCTTATCTCGAATTCAAGGATTGAAAAAAATATTATAGTCTAGACTGCCCATAAGATATAGAAGAGAAATTTAATAGGGAAGGTAGAAAATTGATGTCATACCCATTCCATAAAAATGAGCTACTTCCCATTTGGCACTGATCCCCATGTGTAACGTCAAAATCCTGAACTAGTAGTAAGACTTGAGACTGATGCTGAGATGAATATAGTCCCAGAGTAGAAGGAAGTGTGCTCAGAAGTGCTCTAGAGAAATTCTGAAGGAGGTCCAACCTAGGGAAGAGAGCCTCAGAGAAGCCCTCCTATCTTGTATCCAGAAGCCAGTGATGGCCATGGCCATGATGGCACCATAGCATTTACCACTTCCTGTTTCCACTGGGATGGAGAAGAGGATTCAAAGTGGACGAAAGAATGCAGAATTCTTCCTTCCTCCTCATTTCAGAGTTCCATTGTGGATTAGAACTATCTATCCTTTTGCAGACACACAGGAAATAGTGATTATTAACTTCATCTGGAATTTCAGATGAAGGTAATAGTAACATTATCTTCATCTGGAATTACTCCATTTGATGTCCATTCCTTTGGAATAAATATTCACTCTTTCCAAAACTGTACTCCACCAAACACATATTCTGTAAGATTTTAATAAATATTCCTTCAGAAAAAAAAAAAAAAGGATCTCTAGTTAAATACGTTTGAAAAATGTTACATATTCTACTTCCCTTTTGGAGTTTTACAATGCATATTAAAAGCTCTTTTTGAGGTGGAGGCAGCTGGACAGCTAACATGAAATCCAGGGCAAGAGCTCAACGAAGCTGAGAGCCTTGTTCTAGAAGGCAGCGGGACAGACTAGCATGACATCTAATTAGCCCAAAGAGTAGATGGCAAAGTTCAAGGTGGTCAACACAGGGAGATCTGTGCATGGACAGAACTCTACCTACTAAAGCCTAGATGCAAGAAAAGGCTCTAGTATCAGATAAGTGACCTGGCTAGGGGAAGGCTGGACAGTCCCTGGTGAGGGACTGACAGCAGGGCTTTAGTCCTGGACAGGGTTAGGAAGTCCAGGCAGAGAAACAAGACAACGCTTGTATTTCTAGGTAAAAGTCAAAATAAAGGTGAGATGGCGGGAAAGCAGAAACTGATAGGCAGAGAGCTGTCATTCAGGGCACAGAACACATGCCCAGGAGTTCCTTCCTACTGGAGACACTGGTTCTAATATCCTAGTGATCAGCAGATCCTGCTTTCCACTAGACCTCATGTATGAGGCTGCAGGGGTTGAGAGGAGAGAAAATGGTGTGGGAGGTTCAGAAATCTCAAGTAGTGCTGATTCCATTAAAGTAGGAGGTACAGACCTTGCCAAACTTGGGGGATAGGGAGGAGAGGCCGTTCCTAGGCTGCCCACTAGGGAAATGTGTCCAAAAAAATTAGCTACAACCCAAGAGTCCTCAGTAAAGCCAAAAGTCTGGATCAAAAATAAAGTGCTCTAGACTTAGGATAGGAATATGGACAGTGAAATTGAACCTCAGGGTGGAGGCATCTATAAACCCAATTGTAAGGAGCTCAGAAAGGCACTGAGATTTGAGTTGCCTCTGCAAAATATGCCCTTAGGGGAGAAAATGCTGTGAGAATTCTAATCATAAAGACAGTTAGAGAGCACTGGTGAATGAAAGATGATGCCGAGTCAACTAGGAAGGGTCTCTCTTTGGCAGAACTCGGGCCAATAAAGTCGTATGCCTTCTTTGGGAGGCCAAGGTGGGTGTATCACCTGAGGCCAGGAGTTCGAGACCAGCCTGGCCAACAAGGTGAAACCCTATCTCTACTAAAAATACAAAAATTACCTGAGTGTGGTGGTGCGTGCCTGTAATCCCAGCTACTTGGGACGCTAAGGCAGGAGAATCACTTGAACCCAGGAGGTGGAAGTTGCAGTGAGCCAAGATTGCTCTACCGCACTCCAGCCTGGGTGGCAGAGTGAGACTCTGTCTCAAAAAAAAAAAAAAAAAAGTTGTATGTCTTAATCATAGGGACTATCTTCACAGCTTCTGGATCAGCTATTTTGGCTCCACAAAATTAGTGCACAAGGAGGAACTGTACCTTTGCATGGACACCTCAAGTGCTTTGTCATTGCTTCTGGCATGGCTTATTTTGCTTTCCGGTAAAGCTCTTAGCATAGCTCATTGGGAAATTGAGACCAGAAGTTGTCCGTGACCACCAGCCACGAAGGAAATGCCCTACCCTTGTTGCCACTGGTGGCCTCTTTTGCGCCACCATTTTGCATCATTTCTCGGAAGCTGTGCCTCCCCCCTTCTAAGATCTGTGACAGTCTTGTCTGAGGACATCACAGTAAACCACAGACCCAAAGGTCCAGCACTCCTGGTTACATTCTAGCTGTCAGCAGCTCTCCACACAACACTGTGCCTCCATCCGAACGCGCTGGTGGGAAATCTGTCTACTCAGCATACCCTCTTTGGGGGTCATGGGCCTCCATAACCATCACCCTCAGCTGCTTGTTTTTTCTCAGACAAAACTGCGAAGGAAACCAAGTATTTCTTTAGGGACCCAGCATCTCTCTTCAAGGCCTTTATCTCAAACTCATTGGCGTCTCCTTCCTGTCCCTACAACTAGGAGCTCAGTGCCTTCTCCTCTCTATCCCTTCCTCAGTCTAGTTCTCAGAAATCAATCTTATAAACTCATTCACACTTCCACTTAACATGACCAAGATGTTTCACAATCAAAACCCTTCCTGGAGTCTCTTCATTTTTAACAGGGTCTCAAAGATTTAAATCAAGAAAAAGAAATTTCAATTGTGGGATTCCAAGCAATAGCAAACAGCCAGGACAAGTTTTTGAGGGGCAGGACACATTCTTGGTGCCTGAAATTATACCACTTGACAGACCAGCTCTTTGTATTCCATCACCTGACACCTTCAAGCCATCTCTTCTGCTAGCCCAGGGGCCAGCATCCCTGAATGTGTGCCAGCACCCACTGCTATCTGTCTCCCTTGGAAAAGAAAAAAAGAGACACACATAATTTTTTGTTTGTTTGTTTTTTGAGACGGAGTTTCACTCTTGTTGCCCAGGCTAGAGTGCAATGACACGATCTCCCTCCCGGGTTCAGGCGATTCTCCTGCCACAGCCTCCCAAGTGGCTGGGATTACAGACATGAGCCACCATGCCCAGCTAATTTTGTATTTTTAGTAGAGACAGGGTTTCTCCATGTCAGTCAGGCTCGTCTCAAAGTACCGACATCAGGTAATCCGCCCGCCTCGGCCTCCCAAAGTGCTGGGATTACAGGTGTGAGCCACTGCGCCTGGCCGAGACACCTCTTATTTACTCAGTAATCATTCAATGTTAACAGTCACAAAACAGGTGCCACCAGCTCCAGTACATGCAATAACACACCACACCCTCACCTCTAGCCCCATCACAGCTGACTTTGTGAGCCACATCAACAGATTTTATGTAGATGATAAGACAGAGCCACTTTAGTAGCAAACCAATTACCAGTGGTGTTTTGACACGTGTGGCCTACACTGTGATGAAGAACAAAGACTTCTTGAAATCCTCACCTACAGCCAATTGGTATCTTTCCCACATATGTTGTTGCAGCATCTCTATATATAGAATCTAGTACTCTATAAACAGAATGTTCTAGCTAAACACGTACCAACAAGCAAATCGCGAGGTAGGTAAAGACAGCATCTCATCACCCTTCTTTCTCCCACCCTTTCCTAAATCTCACCAGGGACAGAAAAGCTCTGTGAAAACAGCATGGGTTTTGGCGTTGTACAGACTTGAGGAGAAATAAATCCTAGCTCAGCCCTTTTATTAGCTGTGTGACCTTGGACAAGTTATATAACTTCTTTTTCAGCTTGCTCACGTGCAAAAAATGGGAATACTTTATTGGTTTGTACTACAATTAAATTATATATGAAAGCATCTAATACATGCCTGGCTCTCAACGGACACAAGTTTCTGTTATCCATCTAAACTATCATGTACCTGGTATCCTCAAGCTATCAAAGCCAATGTGTGTGCCCCACACAAATCTTTTCTTTACTAAACCCTATTGAAGCTGCCATCCCCTACAAGAGCTGATCTAATCACACTGTTAAAAGGAATGCAATTCTGATGAAATGAATTCAAGTAAAACATAAACAACATTGCTGGGTTTCTATACTAACTCTGGGTTGGGGGGTATTTCTGCATTTAAAAAAGAAGCCTGGTTGGGAGGCCGAGGCAGGTGGATCAATTGAGGTCAGGAGTTCGAGACAAGCCTGGCCAACATGGTGAAACCCCATCTCTACTAAAAAACAAAAATTAGCCAGGCATGATGGCACACACCTATAATTTCAGCTACTTGGGAGGCTGAGGTGAGAGAATCACTTAAACCCAGAGGCAGAGGTTGCAGTGAGCCAAGATCACACCACTGCACTCCAAGCTGGGCAACAGAGCGAGACTCTAAAAAAGAAGCCTGGAAATTCAAATGAGAGGCAGGATGTGCAATGGTGAGGTTCTCCTAAAGGACAAGAGACCAGTATTCACCTTTTCCACTGCAAGCACAGCCTCTTTTCACTCTCTCTGCGGAAGATGAGAAACCAATCCGAGCTACAGAACATCAGCTGATTGCTGAATGTCACACCTCAAATCAACAGCAGGTCCAGAATAGAACTTGGAGCCTTGGCTACCCCTCCTGCTCTAGTCAGCACATGTCACTTCCTTACCCAGGAAGTTATGGTGTTGTTTTTTTGTTTTCCCTAGGAGGTTTCCAACACTATTTTAAACTCTTTGGACTCAAAGCAACAGGATTTGACTATGGTCACAGCCTTGAAACTGTGTGTGGGAGGCCTGGACCTTACTTCTAGCATCACACCTTTTTTAAATGGTCTCAACAAGGCCCAGATTAATACAGGTGGTACAATGAACCTATGTCTTGACTTGTCTCTTAGTGATCCAGGAAGGAGGATCACAGAGAAATTTCTAGGTTTTCCACATACAGGATCACAGAAGCAGATTATTCGGGCTAAAATCAGCCTAAGTATAATCATGTGACACATGTGCTATGCTGACTATAAATCACAATTCAGCATGGGAATTCTCATTATTAGGAACTCTTCGGCAGTATGTATGTTCTCCTTTGACTTTCCTGGCAAGACCCTAGTGAGCCAAGGGCACTAGCTCAGGCTAGGGTCTGAGAAGCCAAACACCCTTGGGGGAGGGAGGGTGGTGGAAAAGGCTGGCTGGCAGCTTCAGCAGGTGGTATAAAGGGGAACTGAAGGTGAAGTCTAGGGTGAGGGAAGGACTGGTCCAGGCAGGATTACTCAACAGCATGTGCTCAGGGAACTGGCAAAACAAGAACAACAACAACAAATATTTTAAGTTATTTTATATTTATCAAAGTGGTAACCATGGTAAAAATCAGAATTTTGCTGCATTTTCTTTACATTTTGCTAGGTTTCTTTATACTTATTTTGCATTTACACTGCTTTTAAAATACATACTGAGGGATGAAAGTATGAGGGACATCATAATTTTTCTATTGCTTAAGACTGTTAAATTCTTAATCTGGCCTCTAACTTCAGGAACAAGCAAGGAAAGTCAAGAGTTTGAACTTTCCAGGTCAATATTCATTTCTTCATTCAATAAATATTTCTTGAGGGATTAGTAAGTATCAGGCCTTTGCTCAGTCCTGGGATGCAGCAGCAAACAAAAGAGATGTGGTTCCCGGAGTTCAGTTTACTGAGAGTGGGTAAGAACAAGAACAGGATCTAAAGCCAAAAGTCTTATTGGAAAAGAGGCAAGATTCCACAGCCAGCAATGAAATGCCAATAGAAAAGCCCATATTCAGGGAGATGAGCTGGTTCAGAAAATGGTCTCATCCCCTCACTCACTTTGACAGGGGAGACAGCCACTGTGGTAGGTTGAATTCATCAATGTAAGTGCCCTCACAGCCAATGCCACCATGAAACTGCCCCTTCTCTGTTCACAGCCATGTAACTATAAGCTATGTGCAAGATGTTGAAAGCTCCAAAGAAAAACACAAGATTTGAATTGTCTACTGACAGAAATTCTAGAAGGTATACTACACCAGAAGTGGGAAGTACAAAACCAACTGCCAGAGGCAGCTGGGGGATCCTCCCCCGACATTGTCACTACACTTCTCTGACACTGCATGAAAAGTAAAAATAAAGACAGAATAGGAAAGGGAAAATAAAGGGGAGCAGGGAAGAGGGATTGAAGAAGAGATCGGGTGAGATGGTCAGGCTACAGTCAGAAGCCTCGTGAGAGGAGTTTCCGATTTACGGTATGAAGCAGGCAAGACATGAAGAAAGGCTATGGCCTGATGTGTTAGAAAAACGAGTCACGGGCCAGGTGTGGTGGCTCATGCCTGTAATCCCAGCACTTTGGGAGGCTGAGGCAGGTGGATCACAAGGTCAAGAGATCGAGACCATCCTGGCCAACACAGTGAAATGCCATCTCTACTAAAAATACAAAACTTAGGTGGGCGTGGCGGCGTGTGCCTGTAATCCCAGCTACTCAAGAGGCCAAGGCAGGAGAATTGCTTAAACCCGGGAGGCGGAGGTTGCAGTGAGCCGAGATTGCGCCACAGCACTCCAGCCTGGTGACAGAACGAGACTCTGTCTCCAAAAAAAAAAAGGGGGGGCCGAGCAGGGTCGCTCACCCCTGTAATCCCAGCACTTTGGGAGGCCGAGGTGGGCAGATCATGAAGTCAGGAGATTGAGACCATCCTGGCTAACACGTTGAAACCCCATCTCCACTAAAAAAGCCGGGCGTGGTGGCAGGCGCCTGTAGTCCCATCGGGAGGCCAAGGCAGGAGAATGGCGTGAACCCGGGAGGCAGAGGTTGCAGTGAGCTGAGATCGCGCCACTGCACTCCAGCCTGGGCGACAGTGCGAAACTCTGTCTCAAAAAAAAAAAAAAAAAGAAAAGAAAAAAGAAAAATGAGTCATTCCAGCAGCTCAGCTCCAGCACGGTCAGAACGTGATGGCCATGGTAAAGGTGGAGAGCCAACAACAGCAACAGCAGGAGGTACAGAATCTATGCACAGCCAGCACAGTAGGGGCCTACAGAGATCTCAAAGTGTTTGACTTCTCTGGGCCTCAGTTTCCTTTATCTGAAAATGAAGATGGTAAGAGTGTACATTAATTACCTAGGACTGCCATAAAATTACCACAAACTACATGGCTTAAAACAACAGAAATTTATTCTCTCGCAGTTCAGGAAGCTACAAGTCTGAAATCCAGGTGTCAGTAGGGCCATGCTCCCTCTGAAGTCCCTAGGGAAGAATCCTTCCTTGTCTCTTCTAGTTTCTGGTGGTCGCTGGCAATCCTTGGAGGGCTGCAGCCATTCCTTAGCTGGCAGCAGCATAACTGCAATCTCTGCCTCCATCTTCATGTGGCCATCTTCCCTCTGTGTCTCTCTCTTCTTATGACAACACCAGTCACTAGACTAGGACTTCCCAGTTAAACTTCATCTCAACTTGATTATGTGTGCAAGGACCGTATTTCCAAGTAAGATCACATTCATAGGTTCTGGGGCAACATGAATTTTGGGGGATACTATTCAATTTGGTACAGAGCACCAACCTCCTAAGAAGTTTATACATGTAAGGTATTATACTTAGGACCATGACTGGCACACAATATGTGTTGTGTAAAGGTTGGCTACTCTTCTTCAACATCTCTGGCAGGTAGCTGTTGCCAAAAGGGTATGTAGGTATGTTCTGTTATGTAAGAATCACCCTCCCTCCATTTTGAGTCAGAGGCAAGAAACTGAATGAAACTAGAGTTCTGAAATAAGCAGATTAGGGCAGAGCTAGAGCACACGTTTATTACCATTCAGTACCCCTTATCAATATCCTAGCAATATTCTCAGGTTGGAGTGAAAAAATACCTGCTACAAGCACTTGTTTTTTGAACAACATAGACTTTATCATTCCAAATGAACAATGGCCCTTCAAAGCAGTCCCCTTGTTAGGATCTGCCTTGGAAGACCCTTCAAAGCCAGCCAAGAAGCTGCAGCAGAGAGACAGCAGTCTCGTAACTTACAATTCAGACTGTGAGTTCTGATCCCAAACTGTTTTACATGGTATATTCACCCCATGGTTTGGTAATGAAATGACCTTTGGCTGTATCCAAACATTAAATCCATTCTCTGAGATGGAGATTTGCTATTTCTGAGGATGTGATATTCAAAATAACAAGCCACTTTCAAATTAGGGAAGAGGAGAACAGATTAAAGGCTCCTGCTCTTACTTCTCCTTCTTTAATGAATGAATTTGGGACAGCTACCCAACTGAAAAAAATACATAAGGCGGGGCGCGGTGGCTCACGCCTGTAATCCCAGCACTTTCGGAGGCCGAGGCGGGCAGATCACAAGGTCAGAAGTTCGAGACCAGCCTGGCCAACATAGTGAAACCCAGTCTCTACTAAAAATACAAAAGTTAGCCTGGAATGGTGGCACGTGCCTGTAGTCCCAGGTACTTGCAAGGCTGAGGCAGGAGAATCGCTTGAACCCAGGAAGCAGAGGTTGTGGTGAGCCGAGAACACGCCACTGCACTCCAGCCTGGGCAACAGTGAGTGAGACTTCGTCAAAAAAAAAGAAAAGAAAAAAGAAATACAGCCAGATTCCAACCACTCTCTTCATATCAAAATAAATACCAGATGGATCAAAGATTTAAATTTAAAGATAAAAGATTTAAACACACAGAGTACTCAAAAAGAACAAGTAACTATTTTTGTAATTTTGAGGTGGGGAAGCATGCTTTTTCTTTTTTTTTGAGACAGAGTCTTGCTCTGTCACCCAGGCTGGAGTGCAGTGGCCAGATCTCAGCTCACTGCAAGCTCCTCCTCTCGGGTTCACGCCATTCTCCTGCCTCAGCCTCCCGAGTAGCTGGGACTACAGGCACCCGCCACTTTGCCCGGCTAGTTTTTTTTGTATTTTTTAGTAGAGACGGGGTTTCACCGTATTAGCCAGGATGGTCTCGATCTCCTGACCTCGTGATCCGCCCGTCTCGGCCTCCCAAAGTGCTGGGATTACAGGCTTGAGCCACCGCGCCTGGCCATGGGAAGCATGCTTTTTCTAAACATTGGTCTAGTAGCAGGAAAAATTATAAGGGAAGAGATTTTCTGACTACTTAAAAACGTAAAATTTGCATACAGAAAAAAAGCTGCATAAACAAAGTTGAAAGGAAATGACAAAATGGGAACAATTCTGTATTATATATGATAGTCGACACGTTAAGTCTTACAAATAAAAAAAAATTATTGGAAAAAATGTGCAGGCAAGGTGCAGTGCTTCACGCCTGTAACCCCCAATGCTTTGGGAGCCCAAGGCGGGAGGAGCACTTCAGTCTAAAGTTCAAGATCAGTCTGGGCTGCAAGAACCCATCTCTAAAAAAAAAAAAAATTAGCCGGGTGTGGCAGCAGGCACCTGTAGTCCCAGCTGCTCACGAGGCTGAGGCAGGAAGATCTCTTGAGCCCAGGAGTTCAAGGCTACAGTGAGCTATGATTGCACCACTGCACTCCAGCCTAGACAACAAACCAAGACCCTGTCTCTAAGAGGAAAAAAAAAAAAATTCAAAAGTCATGAATAACTGATTTAAAGAAAAAATAGAAAGGTCCAAAATACATCTGAAAATTCAACCTTTAATATTCAAATAAATGAAAATTAAATCATACTTATTGAGTGCTATGTTTCAGTTACTATTTATTCTAAGCATTTTACTTGGATTTATTCCTCACAATAACCCTATAAAATAAGTGCTATCATTACCCTCACAATAACCCTATAAAACAGGTGCTATCATGCCTACTTTACCACGATGAAATTGAAGGACAGAGAAGGTAAATGACTTACCTAAGGTCACCCAGTTAGTAAATGGCTGAGTCAGAATTCATCCCCTAGCAGGCTGGCTCCAAAGTCACATTCTTAACCACTGTGGTACAAGACCATGTCTTACCTGTTAGATGAAGAAGACAAGAAATACAACACCCAATGTTATCAAAAGCATGGGAAAACAGGCAATCTCATGTGCTGCTAATATAAGTTTACATTCTTAAGGGTAGTTTGGCTCCATGAATTGACATTTTAAATATGCATACCTTTTAACTCAGCAGGTGAATTTCTTGGAATTCATCCTGAAGAGATAGTGCACAAGCATGTAGAGATGTATATATCAAGTGTTTATCACAGAATGCTCACAATAATAAAAATATTGCAAATAAAAGCCCAGTAAGTATACCAAATGTCCAACAAATTCATTCACTCAACAAATATTTATTGAGCATCAATGATGTACCAGGAACTGTTCTCAATACCAGGTATAGAGCATGGATAAAAGAAAAAAGGGCCAGGCATGGTGGTTGACGCCTGTAATCCCAGCACTTTGAGAGGCTGAGGAGGGAGGATTGCTTGAACCTACGAGTTTGAGACCAGCCTGGGCCACACAGTGAGACCCCCATCGTTAGAAAACATTTTTTAAAATAGCTGGGTGAAGCAGCACATGCCTGTAGTCCCAATTACTTGAGAGGCTGAGGTAAGAGGATCACTTAAGCTCAGGAGATGGAAGTTGCAGTGAGTCGAGATCATGCCACTGCACTCTAGTGTGGGTGACAGAGCGAGACCCTGTCTCCAAAAAAAGGGGAGAAACACTCATTCTATGATACAGAATGGGATACTGCCTGATTCTAGCATAATAAAACAATCTTTAAAATAAAAATCCCCGTCTTCATGGAGCTTATATTCTAATGGAGGGAAGTTAGGCAATAAGCAAATAAATGAGAAGAGTATATATCAGGTGATGCTAACTAAATGCTATAGAGAAAAATACAGAAGGGAAGAGAGATAGGGAAGAAAGGGGGATTGTTATCTTGTTAAGGGAGTCAAAGAAGACCCCATTGATAACAGGTAAAACAAATGGATTAAATATTAGAGAATAATAGCAGTATGATATATCCACTCACTGAACTATAATTCAGCCCTTTTTTCTGTATTTATTGACATGAAAATGTCCTCAATCAAGTGAAATCAAGTGAAAAAAGATGATAAGACAGTAACAAGGTATGACTCCACTGATATAAAATAACATGTATATATATGCTCATATTCCAACTGGGAGAGTGGACCAACATCTAACAAGATTAATACTGAGTAAGGGTCCAGGCTGAGTGCCAGGCAACAGGATAAGCAGTATGTTTGTTCACACACCCATTCACTGATCCTCCTCCCAATACCTATACTTTGCTCCAGAAAGAATTTAAGGACAGCGAATCTACACACCCCCTCAAGTTCTTTATTTCTCTCATCCTTTCTCTCTTCTTCCCAGAAGCCAGGCCAGTGACAGTGTGAAAAACGTACATAAAAAGGATGGAAGGAAACCTCTACAGAATCTGGATGGGATTCCTCTTATTTCAACACATAGGAAACAGGTCCTGGGAAGCACAACTCCTCCCTGCACACCTGCAGGATTTGAAGCAAAGCTACCTGACTCAGATTCCCTATTTTATCCCCTACTAAACCCAAGATGCCCTGCAGGGACAGCTGGGAGCAAGCCTGGCTCATCATATGGAGGTGACAGGCCACAGGAAGCCAGAGCTCTACCCTTGGTACACAAGGCCTGTATCTTTCTATGAGCAGAAATGACAGAGTCAAACCGTTTTTGGCCCCTACCCTGTCCTCTCATCCATGCCTGTACTCATAAGCTATCCTGGCTAAGTTAATTCATGCTCAACCCCCTATATTCACCGCCTTGCCCAGTTACCCCAGAGATTCACAGATTTCCCCAGTAAGAGACTAAGTGCCTACCAAGAAAGCTGCCTAGAGTGACCAGACATGTTAGTGTGATTCAAACATTTCCAGTCTTGGGTGAGGGTAGCCAGGGTTCAGATCTATCTGCTCTTATATATGTAGGAGCAGACTACACTTCTTGTTTGACCATAAAGCCACAAACAAGGAACTGGAAACTTTCCAAAGGCGAAATCCACATTGTTGTTGCCTGTATCTTTAGCCTGGGGTAGGGGGGGTATAGGCACACGAGTGGAGGCAGGGCACCCAGGGAAAGACTCAACTACTTCAAAACATTTCTCACATACTGTCACCTTTTGGACACCAACTATAAGCCAGGCTCTGTGTTAAGTGCTTTCATATACTACTGACAAAAAAAGCAAAATCACTTTTATCAAATATTCCTACTACGTGCTACTGAATTTAAGACGCCAAAAGCACATTCAGGTCCAGCTGCCCTGCCGATAGTTAAATATTCAGGCTTGATGTTAAGCAGAGGATAGAAACCTGAGATTCTCTCCTCAGGGTTATCACAGAAGTGTACATACTATCAAGTCAGATTCTTCAGGCTCCAATCTGGCTCCAGCTCTCTTACCTGTGCTTTCAGCAGGAAACATCACAAACACTCATGTACACATCTCAAGTCCCCAACACACTTGGTCTGCAAGTGGAAGAAATTTCCTGCTAGAAATGGGTACCACATGAGGTAGAAAAAACCAAAAGTAATCACACTTCTTCAGCAGAGGAACCTCTTTCTCCACTTTCATCTCTGCCAAATATGTATTTATTGAACAACTCATATTATGCTCATCACTACAGGATATAAGATGCCTCCTGCCTTCAAAAATTTACTCCATTAGGGAAAACAAAATCAACACATAGGAAGCATGTCATAAAAATAAGAGGACTTGCCGGGCACAGTGGTTCATGCCTGTAATCCCAGCACTTTGGGAAGCTGAGGCGGGTGGATCACAAGGTCAGGAGTTCAAGATCAGCCTGGCCAAAATGGTGAAACCTCGTCTCTACTAAATATACAAAAATTAGCCAGGCATGGTGGCAGGCGCCTGTAATCCCAGCTACTCAGGAGGCTGAGGCAGGAGAATCGCTTGAACCTGGGAGGTGGAGGTTGCAGTGAGCTGGTATCGTGCCACTGCACTACAGCCTGGGTGACAGAGTGAGACTTCGTCTCAAAAAAAATAAAAAAAATAAATAAATAAGAGGGCTCCAGGATTTCTAGTGCATGGAACAGGAAAAAAGAGATGCTGGTAAAACAAATGGAAAAGTATGTAAAATAAGACAAATGGTGGGATGTCCTGGTATATATAGCTATCTTCAATTTCAAATAACCACATCTCCCCTTTTTGGTTCCATTCCTAGTAGAGTGGTATTTTACTTCAAGAAAAATCTCCAATACAAACATCTGAGACATAAAGTTGGGGATCATTCATAAGGCAAAAAGGAGTCTCCTCTTTGCTGTAAAGTTAACTAAGATATGATTTAACCACCCCTCAAACTATCCCTGTATCATACATACATACATACATACATACATATACATACAATGTTTATACCCAACTTTTCAGGATCACATTTATAAGGTGAAGCAAAGTAGTTTTAAAAAGTATTCAGGACAGGCGAGGTGGCTCACGCCTATAATCCCAGCACTTTGGGAGGCCGAGACAGGTGGATCACCTGAGGTCAGGAGTTTGAGACCAGCCTGGCCAACATGGTGAAACCCTGTCTCTATTAAAAATACGAAAATTAGCCAGGCATGGTGGCGCATGCCTGTAATTCCAGCTACTCAGGAGGCTGAGGCAGGAGAATCACTGGAACCCGGGAGGCAGAGGCTGCAGTGAGCAGAGATCGCACCACTGAACTCTGAACGCCACTGGGCAACAGAGCAAGACTCTGTCTCAAAAAAAAAGAAAAAGACACGTGCACATGTGTGTTTATTGCAGCACTATTTACAATAGCAAAGACATGGAACCAACACAAATGCCCATCAATGATAGACTGGATAAAGAAAATATGGTACATATACACCATGGAATACTATGCACCCATAAAAAGGAATGAGATCACGTCCTTTGCAGGGGCATGGATGAAGCTGGAAGTCATCATCCTCAGCAAACTAACACAGGAACATAATACCAAACACCACATGTTCTCACTCGTAAGTGGGAGCTGAACATTGAGAACACATGGACACAGAGAGGGGAATAACACACACCAGGGCTGCTGGGGGGTGGGAGGTGGGGGGTGAGGGGAGGGAACTTAGAGGACAGGTCAATAGGTGCAGCAAACCACCATGGCACACATACACCTATGTAACAAACCTGCAACGTTCTACACATGTATCCAGTTTTGGTTTTTTTGTTTTTTAGAATAAAGAAAAAAAATTTTATAAAGGCAATGTATCAGGTTGGGTGTGATAGCACATGCCTGTAATCCTGACACTTGGGAGGCCAAGACGGGAGGATTGCTTGAGGCGAGGAGTTCAAGACCAGCCCGGGCAACATAGCAAGAAGACTCTGTCTCTACAAAAAAATTAAAAATTAAAAAATAAAATATTTTAAAAGGCAATGTATTGATGAAGAATGGCTAAACTATGATGCATACATAAAATGGAATATTATTCGGCCTTAAACTGGAAAGAAATCCTATCACATGTTACAACATGGATGAACCCTAACACATGCTAAGTAAAAAAGCCCATCACACACACAAAAATACTGTATGACTCTATTTATATGAGGTAGTGAAGTATTCAAATTCATAGAAACAGAAAGTAGAATGGTGGTACCAGAGAGAAAGGAGGAGTAGGGCAAGTAGAGTTGTTGTTTAATGGGTACAGAGTTTCAGTTTTGCAAGATGAAGTAGTTCTGGAGATCTGTTGCACAAAATGTGAATATACCTAAGACTACTAAAACGTAAAGACTTAAAAATGGTTAAAATGGCAAATTTTATGTTTGTTTTTTACTATTTCTCATACACTTAAAAATGGTTAAGAAGGTAAATTTTATGTGTCTGTTTTTTACAACTGCTTTTTTTTTTTTGAGATGGAGTCTTGCTCTGTCACACAGGCTGGAGTGCAGTGGCGCGATCTCAGCTCCCTGCCACTGCAACCTTCACCTCCTGGGTTCAAGTGATTCTCCTGTCTCAGCCTCCCAAGTAGCT